CTTCCACTTTTTGTCTTCTTCTTCGTCACTAAGACTATCAGCAGCTTCTTCTCCATATTCTTTTCATTACCACTTCATTTTCATCTTCTCCTTCCTCCTACATTTTTTGACTGAGTTCGTCTGCTTTTCAGTTTGTTTTTTTTGCTGTTTCGTCAATTTTATTGTTGATGCTGCTAATGTTCCAGCAAAAATTTTGAACATTTTAATGGTTGTCAAACAGCGATAAATTGGTGCTAATGGTAAAAAATTTTAATGAGCAGCTAGTAATAGTTGTTTTGAAAATTTTAGGGAAATATGAAGCAAAGAAAAGGAAAAAATTGCAAACATTATTGTTTTAATGAATGGTCAAAGTTTCAAAATATTCTTTGCGGAATTTTATGGTTGGCAGAGTGCCAAAACGGAAATATTTGCTCAAATTTCAAAATTTCTTTCTGTAAGAATATGCTAATGCTTTTCTTCTTTTTCCTTATATTTTTTTCTCTTGTTTTTTGCTCACTTTTATGCTTTAGCTAAATTTTCGTTTTTCTTTTGCCATTTGTATTTTTTAAGTTTTTTGTTTGACTTTCTGGCAACAAATAAATTTCCTTTCTTTTAATGAAGAAAAAAAAGCAGTTATTTTTTTGATTTTGTTCTCTTCTTTGCTTCAGTTTTATAACCGAAGGGATATTAGAAATGTTGCTTTTGTTTTTTTTTCTTTGCTTTATTTTTTTTCAAATAAAACGGAGAAGAAAATTAGGTGAGGAAAGTGCTTTTTTTACTACTCTTTTCACTCTTCATGTTTAATAATTAAAAATTAAAAGTTTTGCTGACGTTATTGTTAGTGTTAATGGTAATGCTGATGGTACTTTCTGGTCTTTTTTTGATCAGTTTTCTTTTGCTTCTGATAAAACAATTTTTTGAAGGAGCAGAATAACAAATAACAAAAAATTTTTTTTCACATTTGGAGCATTGAGAGGCTTTTTTTTCATAATACAGTGGTTCAAAAGAAAAACCCTAAAAACAATTTATTATTTTGAAAGAAAAAATTATTTATTTTGGAATGTTTAACATACAAAACATAGGGAACAATCCACGTAAAAAAAACATTTCCGTTCATCTTATGTTTCCTCTGTCTTTTTTTTTTTCTTTTAAATAAAGAGTGAGAGCGAAATTTCACAAGCCGTTAGCATTGTAAATGTCATCATCTGATGCAACAGTAAAAAATTTACATCAATATCCGTCAAACAAGTTTCGGAGTATCTCTTTTCAGTCCACAGATCTGTAGAAAGAAAAAATGACAAACAGAAAGTCTGTAGATTTTGTTCGCTGGTTACTGAATCCGTCAACCGATTTTCCACCATCTCTAAATCCGGTGAACTTACAGCTTTGTTTATTCCTCAAATTCTAAAAGCGGTTTGTTTGTAGGGAGTCATTCTGGAAGGATATTTGGGAATTTAGGATGTTAGATGTGAAGGATTGGTTGCCAAGTCACCAATGTTTAAATCTGACTCAGATACAATAACAAATACCCACAGTTGAGTACAAAAAGGTCGTAGCAACTGAAGAAGGTTTTTGCTCAATTTTTCCATAACGGCTAAATACAACTCTCAGACCTTTACCACATTAGCGATGCTGAATCTCAATGGGCAATGCCTTCAGTTTTTAGTTCTTTTCTGTTTCAAAATTTGCTGTCATCAAATAAGTCTGTCAGTGTATGGTAAATCGTATGTATAACTTAATTGTTTTAAAACCCGGCTGAAGGGTGGAAAAGCAAAGTAGAAAATCAGTGCAGTTTATTTTTTCGAGGTAACAGAATAAGGTAACAAAATAATTCTATTTTTCTTCCTTTACTGTTTAATATAATATGTTAAAGAATTTGGGTTCAATATTTGAAAAAAAAATTTCTTTTGCATATTAACATCAAGTAATTTTTTTTTACAAAATTTACTATGTACAATTTCGTTACTGTTGTTCTGTAAACACCACCAGTAAGGGAAAGTAAATTTTTGCAGACTTCAATTCGCCTTCAAAAAACATACACCGCTATGGATTGCCGTAACGCCGTGCGGCGGTACGGTACATTGGCGATTATTCCATAACCATATTTATGGTATGCATTTTTATCAATACTTCATTCTCAATCATAAAATTTTTTTGCACTTTTTCATCTAAAATCTTAGTGATTTAGCTTTTGTTTTTTTTCTTCTGTTATTATTTTTGTTATTAACAATTTGTAATGTTAAGTTCTGCTAAACTGCACTTAAAAAACCTTCTTATAAAATTTATTGGAAGAATTCTTTGCCAATCATTCTCTTTTTTCTTTTTATGTTTCATGTTTCCTCTGTTACATTTATACGCTTTTTGGCTTTTTTCTGTCGTTTTTGTTGGCCCATCGTTGAACTGAAAAAAAAAAAAACAGTCTGGTCATCCAAAATTACTAGACAGGACAAACAAATTTTTTTTTTTGCTTTTGGTTTCTTTTTTTTTTCTTCAGTATTTTGCGGTCAACAATTTTTACTTCAGAATCAATGACTACAACCAAATTTCTAGTGTTTGTCATACTGATATCTGTACGGTTCGATCAGTTCAGAAGTGTTGACTGCTTTTTTTTTTTTCGCTGTTGTTTATCATTGAAAATTTGTCGATAAAATGCAGAAAAAAATAGGATTTTTATTTTTTTTTCTCTGTCTTTCAAGAAATCAAAATTGTAAAATGTTTTTTAAAAGCTGTCTACTTATCAATTGGAAATTAATGGCATTGTTTTTCCGGCAAGTGAAAAAATAAAAAAATAACAAAATAAGAGAATAAACGAGCAAACAAAATTTCTTCTATTCACCATTAGTTTTCAATTTCTTTTTTTTTTTTCTTTCATTCTCTTCTTTCCGACTTTCCCTGATTAAATCTCAAAAACTGTTTTGTTAACGGCATTAGCTTTGAATCCAGAAATGTTGTAGATATTTTTTTTTCAACTTAAACAAAAAGTCGAGCAAGTAGTTGAGAAGAAGAGAAAAGGGAAGGGAGGGTGAAACAGAAGAGGCAAACGTTTAAAAGCAGTAAAAGAAGACGAAAGCTGCAAGCAGAAAAAGGAAAACCGAAGGACTGAAGAAGAAAGATAAGGAAAGAAATTTTTTTGAAATGTTTTTGCAATGTTGATTTATTAATTCAACATTCTTCCTATTTTTTCTTTTTTTTCTTCCTCTTTCTATTTTATTTTCATAATTTTTCTCGCTTTTGTTTTTCTGCTTTTCTCGTCTGAGCAATAAATTACTTTTTTTTTTATTTACTTATTTATTTATTCATTCATTCATTCATTTATCTATTCATTTATTTATTCATACATTCAATCATTAATTCATTCATTCATTCACTTATTCATTCATTTATTCATTTATTCATTCACTCACTTATTCACTCATTTATTCATTCATTTATTCATTCATTTATTCAATCATTTATTCATTTATTTATTTATTTATTTATTCATTCATTCATTCATTCATTCATTTATTCATTCATTTATTTATCCATTTATTCATTCATTCACTCATTTAGTCATTTATTTATTCTTTCCTTCTCTCTTTCTTTTCTTTTTTTTCTTACTTTTTTTCTTTCTTTTCTCTTTCTTTCTTTCTTTCTTTCTTTCTTTCTTTCTTTCTTTTTTTCTTTCTTTCTTTCTTTCTTTCTTACTATCTTTCTTTCTTTTTTTCTTTCTTTTTTTTTTCTTTCTTACTATCTTTCTTTCTTTTTTCTTTTTTCCTTTCTTTCTGTATTTATTTACTTTTATTTATTTATCTTTGCTTGCCTGTTCTTTCTTCTCTATTCATTTGTCTGTCTTTTAAGTTTTATTAAAATTGCAAAATAAAGAAAAAATTGAAAAAACTGGGTTTTTTTGTGCGTTTTGTGCTGTTGTCTACTTTCGAGTTTTTTGTTGTTTGTCCTGCTGTTTTTTTTCCCCTCCGCTGAACATTTTGTTGTGTAGGAATTGAATATGAAAACTGAACGCTTTAATAATTTGTTTATAAAAATCAAACAAGTGAAGGAAAAGCTTGAAAAAAATTAAGAAAACTTTTAGGGAAAGTTATTTGATCTGTTTTTCACTTTCGAAACAGTCTGAGGAAATTTTTTTATTTTCTGATACTGTTTCTATCTATGTTTATTTTATTGAAAAAAGAAAAACAGAAAAAAAATTTTTTGGTAGAAAAGTGATTAACAGTTTGAACTGTTTTATTTGTTTACTGTATCCACGGAATGAAATATTGGTGTACTGTGCCGCTCATTTCTTCCTTTGTCTGTTTCCAATTTCCCTATTTTTGTTTTCTCAGTACGATACATCAGCTACGTATCCTATTTTTTTTGAGTGGTTAATATAAGGATATTTTTTGTTTTATTTTTATTACATCAAATTCAACACTATTTTTTGGTGTTCATAACTGATGTTGTTATTGTTGGTGTTGATTTTTCAGATTATGATGATCACTTGAATGTAAAGTTCCAAGAAATTGTCCAGGGAACCAGCAAAAAATTGGTATCTGAAGAGTTTAAAGTAAGCAGTGAATCAAAGTTGTTGGCTGGTGAAGCCGATGAGAAACGAATGATTTATTTTGCAAAACGGATTGATAAAGGTTCTCTTTTTTTTGCAATTTTATTGCATTTTGCTTTTTTTTTTTATATACGTCTCGTTATTTTATCATTTTGATTTAATAGTTTTGAATTCAAATTCGCTGCTTTTTTTTCTAATGATCTACAAGTATTGATTAGTCACAAAGCAGTAATGTGTTGGTGATAGTTGAACGTACGAGAGCATACAAAAACCCGGATTTTTTTGATACGTTTTTAATACTTTAATCAGAGAGGAATAGTGTAACTTAGAGAGTGAATAAAAAGAAGAAAAAACTTTTGAATTGAATGCAATGTTCAGCATTATTCATAAGCAGTTGACAGTCGGTTGACAGAAATAAAACTGTTAGCTCAGTAACACCAAAATTTGTCTATAATTTTTAACTAATTTATGCTGACCACCTCTGTGTTTTTTCGCTGTTTCTTTTAATCCGTCTTACTTTTGGTCTATCTATCTAATTTTTTGTTTAGGTTTATTAACAATTGTACTGTTTTCCAATGTACAGTGTAGCGCCAGAGTTTTCTTTACAACGCAAAAACGTAAAATGGATTGGCAGTATCCGGCAAAACCATACGATTCAACAGTTACAGCAACAGTACTACCCAACTATGATTCAGATGCAGAAATGGCAGTAGTTAATGTCAAGTGGACAATACCGTTGGAAATTGAAGCAATTAGTAGGTTTAATCAAGGTCAGCACATTTTCCATTTAATATTGATAATAAATTGTATTTTGCAGATGATAACTTTGTTATTTTGTTTTTTATCTTCAAGCAGAATAGATTACAGATAGCGCTGTAAGCAAAAGTATTTTTACAATTTAGTTTACCAACCGGGGATGTACAGGAAGTGCTGTTTTGATTAATTATAGAACTTTCAATTAATTTTCATTCTGGTAAATTACTGCAATGTGGATTGAAAAACGAAAAAAAGACAAAAACAGCAACAGGTTGAATGCTCATACACGATGAATTTATCAAATTAAAGAAAATAATATTTGTAAAAATTTGTTTTCTGTTCTCAAAGGCTTATTAAATGTGCCATAATTTTGCGAAATCTACATATTGGGGGAGCTGTGAGACAGCAACCACATTTTATGACAGTTTTTGATAACTAAGAAGAGTGAAAAAAAATTGTTTTTTTTTTTATTTTACATACATTACCGGAATTAAAAAATTATAGTGATTTTTTTTTTGAAGTTTTTATTAATAGTTAGGATCTTCTTCAATTTTTTTGTTTCTCTTTGCTTCTTCTTATTTGCTGGTGAAGATGACGTTTCTAGAAAATATTTTCTCATGGGAATACGGGAGAAGAATTAAAGGATTTGAAGAAAAATTGCAAAAAAAAGATGGCATTTTTTCAGTAACAAAAATAAATAGAAAAAAAATCTTGAAAACGACAAAGAGCAACTTGTTATCATCACAAAAAAAAAGACTAATGCCATACTTCTTCAACTTAAAAATTATTCTATTTTTTTTTTTTTTTTTTTTTTTTT